GGTTACATTATTGGTCCTCGGTTAGTGGCCAGCGTTGCATCGGCACGTCCACTTCAAGCATCTCGGAGGGTCGCCAAGATAAAGAGACAGAGAGGGTGCACAGCAGGGGTTTCGGCCCATTCTTCTTACCGCAAGCCACACCAGATCGAGGAGATTAGACTAAGGTCAAGTAAGGTATGGAGTAGACAGACAGACACACACGCACTCTCCACTGTCAGCCGCTCTTCGATCTGTTGGCCCTGACCCTGTCGATCAAAGTGTCACAGTCAGACTCTTTGTGGATGCGTTGGCAGCAAGGCAGCCTCCTCCATTCATTTGTCTGACGGGACCTTTTTGCCAAGATTATCTCGGCTTCTTGCCAAGTCTGGCTCGGCAATCTAGACCCCGTGGGTGCAGACTGGCCTGATGTATCCAATATTCTAATCACAAGGCATGCGTCGACGCGCCCGTAGACGTGCATATGCCTTTTTCAGCTCTGTTGCAGCACCCACCGTTACTTGACTCTGTTTGCATGTGGTTTTTTCGTCTTAGCAGTCAGCATCTTATTGCTCTTGGAAAGCAATAGTGACAAGAAATGGTCTGACAGTAAGCTAATGAACACGAGATACCTTGGGGGGGAGCGGAAAGGAAAGGGATGTGGGCAGGTGATATACCTGAGAATATTCCGCTATCGCCCAGCGGCCGTCCCAAGTGATATAACGTCAAGGTGCCGCAATCTCACTTGTGCATTGTTCTATGGTTTCTGCATGGGAAAAGTTAATCCTTGGAGAAAAAAACCACATTCGTTCTTTTTTTGTTTACACAGTCTCTCGTTATACGCCGCTTCGTTGCCTTGTTTCCACCATGTCACTCTTGCGTTTTGCTGCACTCGGTGCAGCGTTCCTTCACTTGCCCTCCTCCTCCTCCGCGAGTGTCATCGTCCGCAGGGATCTGACACCGCCTGAAACCCCCAGAGACGGCTGGACGTACCTGGGATGCTATGTCGACAGCGTCTCGAAGCGCGCGCTCGATGGGCCTGTGCACTATGACACTGAGGGTCTGACCGCTGAGACGTGCGTGGCCCATTGCGTAGGCCTTGGCTACGCCTTCGCTGGCATGGAGTATGCTCAAGAGTGCTGTAAGTCAAGTCTTCCAATTGTCTGTCAGTGATGATTGACTGTTTTCAGTCTGCGGTAGCAAGAAGCCTACTACCAAGGCTCCTGAGGCCGATTGTAGCATGGCCTGTACTGGTGATGCTGATCAGCCTTGTGGAGCTGGTGATAGACTCACTGTCTTTGGCAAGTCTTCTGCCGGAGGTACTGCTGTGCCCTCCGGCGAAGCATCCGCGACTGCTTCTGCCACTGGCACTGCAACCGCTACCTCCGGCCCCATCGCCACTGATCTTCCTGACGACTGGTCCTATGCCGGTTGCTACATTGACCCTCCTGGCCGTGCCCTTTCCCCATTCGGCACTTCCTCTTCCCAGACACCTCAGAAGTGTATCGCCACCTGCATTGAGAACGGCTTCAAGATCGCTGGTCTGGAGTACGCTGAGGAGTGTTACTGCGGTAACGCCCTCAACAATGCTGCGTCCAAGACTACGGAATCGGACTGCAACATGGCCTGCAAGGGCGATGACAGCCAGATGTGCGGCGCCGGCAATCGGCTTTCCCTCTATTCCAGCGGTGATTTTGAAGTGTACCCCATTCCCGTCGCTCAAGAAGATGACCTCCCTGGTGACTGGGAGTACAAGGGCTGTGTCTTTGACAACAACAACCCCTATGTGCTCGAGTGGCTGTACGAAGACTCGGGCAGCTACGCCACCAGCAACATGACCGTCCCAACCTGCCTGAAGCGCTGCCAGAAGTTCGGCTACTCCGCTGGTGGTGTTGAGTATGGTCGCCAGTGCGTCTGTGGCGACCTGAAAGCAGTTGAGGCTAAAGGCGATATCTGGAAGGATGATAGTTTCTGCAGCATGGCCTGTCCCGGCAATCGTAACTACACGTGCGGCGCGGGTAACCACATCAGCTACTACGAGTGGACGGGCACCTCGCTCAACACGTTCCATTACGCTTCTGGACCTGCTGCGGGTAGGTATGATCACTTCTCCACTTCCCCCATCATCCCACTCATCAGCTCTGTTGGCATCAACGACAAGGTTGTCTTTGTGGAGAAGCACGGTACGTCTATGGATAACACTGAGGGCTCCTTTGAGTTTGACTACTCTACCAACACCTACCGTGAACTTGCTCTCAAGACTGATGTCTTCTGCTCTGCTTCCTTCACTCTTCCCGATAAGGCTGGCCGTATCATTAACATTGGTGGGTGGTCTGCTGAGTCCGTCTACGGTATTCGCTTCTTCACTCCTGACTCACCCCAAGGAGTCGACAATGGCACCAATGTCTGGGAAGAGGACTACACGCAGCTTCGTCTCTTTGATCCCCGCTGGTACCCCACTGCCATTGTTCTCTCCAACGGTTCCATTCTTGCCATGGGTGGAGAGTCTGGTTCTGATGCTCCCATCGTTCCCTCCGCTGAGGTTCTGCCCCACCCTGCTGGTGTAACCAAGTCGACTTATCTCGACTACCTTGAGCGTGCTGAGAACATTGGTCGAACCAACTCATACCCTCACATGGCCATCTTGCCTTCTGGTGGTATCTTCTTCACCCAGTTCAATGAGTCTCGTATCCTTTCTCAGGTTGACTTCCAGTCGATCAAGAAGTTGCCTGATATGCCTGGTCAGGTTGACAACCCCTTGACTGGTCGCAACTATCCTCTTCAGGGTACCATGATGGTTCTACCTCAGAAAGCTCCTTATACCGACCCTGTCGAGGTTCTCATCTGCGGTGGTACTACTCATGAGCCCGGCAATGAGGCTCTTGACAACTGTGTCCTCATGGCCCCTGATACCCCTGATGCTGACTGGGTCATTGAGCGCATGGTAAGCATCCTCTGTCCCCTGTTCCCGTCATACATACTAACTTTCATAGCCCTCCAAGCGTGTCATGCCCAACATGGTCGCTCTCCCTGACGGTCGCTATCTTATCCTCGGTGGCGCCCAAGTCGGTCGTGGTGGTTTTGGTCTCGCTGACAACTCCAACCTCAACGCAGTCATGTACAACCCCGAGGAGCCTCTCGGTCAACGCATGACAGTCCTTGCTAACACCACCATCGCCCGCATGTACCATTCTGAAGCTACCCTCCTCAGCAACGGAAAGGTTCTCGTCTCTGGTTCTGACCCTCAGGATGAGGGCAAGCATCCTCAAGAGAAGCGCATCGAGTACTTCTGGCCTGATTATCTCCTCTCTGGCGCTGCTCAGCCCAACTTCACCATCACAGACCGTGATTGGGTTTATGGTGAGAGCTACACTTTCACTCTCACCTCTGACCTTGAGGAGGGTGCTTCTAGCATGCGTGTTTCCCTCATGGCCTCTGTTGGTGCTACTCACGGTGTCAGCATGGGTCAACGCACCCTGTTCCCTGACTTTTCCTGCAGTGGCAAGACCTGCACCGTGACAGCTCCTCCTGACGCCTTCATCAGCCCTCCTTCTTGGTACCAGATGTTTGTGCTCGATGGACCTACTCCCTCACATGCCATCTGGGTCCGAATTGGCGGTGATCCTGGAGAGCTTGGTAACTGGCCCAAGCTTCCTGGCTTCACTCCTCCTGGTGTTTAGGTCACTGCTGCATCTGGCACGTAATCAGAAGCACTTGCTTCTATGAGAGTATGATCAACCATGGAGCATACGATGATAATCATCAAGCGCACGATTTTCTTTAAATTGTTTCTTAATTATTCTTCTCATCTTGGGTCGATGTACCTATGCCTTTAGCTAATATTGCTGGATTATGCACGCGTATAACAGCGTTGCACAGGACTGTTTCATTATGTATTATGTACCTGTACATATTTTATCTAATTCCTATGCCATATCTTACCGCGTGTTCATCATTGAACGTATTTAGAGGGAGCGAGATTATTCACACTCTCAGCAAAACGCCCCAGTTCAAGTTGCCTGCAACAAACGCCTAAAAATATGGCTCTGACGACTTGCTGAATGTCGCCAGCGATAGATGAAACTGTAACTAAGGCAAGTAGTGACTGTCTCATTGGGAGGGCGTGGTCGCGCGCGATTCGCGTTGGTGCTTGGACGCTAAGAAACGCGTGTATCGCGAGCAAAATTCACTATCATGTAGGGTAATTCCAGCCAATATTCAATCACAATAATAACACTTTAAAACCAGAAAGTGCAGATAGAGAGTGTTTGCTATAGTCTCTATAATCTCTTACGGGTCAGTGTGTTTAAGTAGCGGTCGTAATAGATGTAATTAGGGATCGTTCTGTTGGGGACTAAATGGGTAAATCTACTTATGCCAGCTTTGAGTTATGCTTTGGCGGCAAAGACAGAAGTATAGAATGATATACATACAGAACAGCTCAAAGTATGTACTGAGTGCACAACACCGGCCAGTAGATCCGAATCACAACTTAAACAAGTATACCAAACTATTCAACATAAGAGATGCTCAATATTGAGAATCACCTCACTGCAGCCAGCAGATCAGTTCAGCTGTATTTACTTGTCTGAGGACTCTGCCACTATCCAATCACAAGGCAAGATGGCCGAGCGGTCTAAGGCGCTGTGTTCAGGTTTGATTTAAACCAGTGACGATTCGCAGTCTCGAAAGGGGCCTGGGTTCGAATCCCAGTCTTGTCAACGTTCTTTTTGCACTTTTAGCACTGACAGACAATATCTATTTTTGCCCTTGGCACTTAATTGTTTGTCGCGTCTAAGTGTAAACTTCTGTTCTTTTCTTTTTCATCCGTATTCTGACAATCACCCTTATTGTGTCAGTGTGCATATAACCGGGACTATTTACTTACCAGAGTTTCCCCAAATTTCTGCCAACAGAGACTCCCCTCACAGACCCTTACTCAGCACTCACCTAAGCCGCCGCTACAACACCAGCCGACAATGAGCAGACTCCAAGAAATGATCAAGCGGGATAAACGAATCGCCATGTACGGCGACTCTCCTCCGCCTCCAAGAACGCCCGCTCCTTATCCAGAAGGCGAGCTCATTTACAACTGCCTTGGCCGCCACGTAGTCCGCCATGGCAACACCGTCACAAAGTACATAGTGCATCCTGATGGCATGGGCGCTAACGATCAACCAAACGAAGCGCACGTGCTAAAATTCGTCAAAGAACATACTACGATCCCGGTTCCTGAGGTCATAAGCAGTGACTGGGATCGCATTGAGATGGAGTTCATTGAAGGCCAAACATTAAAAGAAGCATGGCCCTCACTCCAACCAGAAGAGCGCACAACGATCCTGTCTCAGCTCAAAGATTACATCGCTCAGATGCGGGCGCTAAAGGGTACTTATCTCGGTCGCTTCGATGGCCAAGGTGTTATTGTTCCCAGTATGATGACCCGATCGGGCGGGCCTTTTCATACCATTGAAGCATTCCACGACTGGCTTGTTCGACCGCCGAAAAGAATCACCGAACAGTCTATGTACTGGCATCAGATCACGACGCAACTGGCGAATGACTGCCCTATTGTCTTTACCCACGCCGACATCTCATCCAGAAACATCATCATACGCGACGGTCGGATAGTTGCGCTCTTGGATTGGGAATGGGCGGGTTGGTATCCCGAGTATTGGGATTATGTGTTTGCGCTGCGAGGTCTGGATAAGATTGACTGGCAAACACTGGGGAGTAAAGTGCCGTCGTTGTTTGAGAAGCGCTATGATATTGAGTACATACTGGTGAACTTCATCACGACTCTATCGTAGGCTAATGGCCCGGCGAATGGACAGTACACCAACTCTTGCAGCTCTATCCATTTAGCCAACACATCCATCCAACAACTTATCCATCAACTCCCCCTCAACAGCATCATACCACTCCTGCGTCTGATAACCTTCAGAAACAAGTGCCTGAAGACCCTCGAGTATAAAAGTCTGACAATTCCAATCGCTTATCTTCTCTCTTCCCTCAACCGGAGTACCCGCAACGACATTAACCGGGTCCATCTCACGACCCTTCCAGACCTGTACAGCCCCGACATTAACGTGGCTGAGGTACGTGGCACTGAGGGCCCAGTCTACTCCCCGGTGAATTCTGTCGACTTTCCATGGGTCGCCTTCATCCTCGTGCTGCGCGTGCACGGTTTCGTGAAAGCTTGGGTCTTCGGGGGATGTGAAGTACGCAAGAACGTGGCGGGCGAAATAGAAGTCTGGTGTTCCTCTAAAGATGTAAAGGGTGATGCAGACGGTAGATTGGCTCATACTTGGTCTATGATAGATGTGACAGCACAATGGAAAGCAATTGATCTGTTACTGGATATCTCTCCAAAAACCTAGATTGTCGCTACTGTTTTTTCTCACCTCATCCTTCAGGATCGGCGGCTAGATAAAGTCTGTCGCTCGACTCATCTTCTGTTTGTCCACCGGCCGGCCAAACAAGCAATTTGATCGCAGTGTATTCCGCTTTGGGAGATCCCAGCGTTTTGAAACGTGTTGGTTGTCCCGTCTCTCAATGCCGACCAGTCATGAGCCACATAACAACACCAGGCGCTTGGGATGAAAAGTCAGCCCGTTTACCCGCGTGATGGAACGTCAAGCAACCAAGCCTGGTAACAGTCTGCATCCGATAACCAACACCTTACACGCTGCAGGAAATGTTCAGTAAACGGCCAGCCACTAGCAGACGATCACAATTGGCACATATTTTGGTACAAGCTATTCATATTCATCAATACCAGTAGTACTCCATACCCCGTCTCCGGAAGCCCCAGCATCTTGTGCGTTAGAAATGGAACACGTAAAATGTATATTGACGAGTGAGCTCTGTAACCCAAACTGGACTCATTTCCCACATTGGTCACATGAAGTGAATTACTAAAAGGAGGATTGGAGAGAGAAGAAAAGCTTAATCGCTAATAGATTGCCTGTAATGTTCGACACCCTTCCACTTCTGTGCATCGAGAAAGGCCCTAATAGCTTCATCTAGCCACTGATAAGCATGTTATTCTCACAAGACTTGGTGTATGACTTACTGGTTTCCCGCAGATGTTCAACCTCTCTAGGCGACCGGTAAACATGCTTGACAAAATCCTCCAGTCCCTCGAAACTATCAGCGTTGAAACTGAGTAGTCCCTCAAAGTAGACCGTCACAAGATACTCCTCGAATGAAAGCCCAGCCAGGGAGAAATATTCCTTTGTAAGCTCGCTGGTGTCGATACTTTCACCATCCGCCTCTTCTCCCTCGTTGTCCCCATCCAATTGTCCTCCGTTGATTTCGTCGTCATCGTTGAAGCATGCGTGCACATCAACCGCCGACACCAAAACGCAATGACCCCCGGATGGGCTCAAATACAGGTATGCAAAAGCGCAGTGTTGTTGGTCGAAATGGAAGCGGCACAAGTAGCCTCCCTGGTCGTCATCAATGGCAGCTGGACATTTGATGAGCTTCGATAGCCGGAAGTACCAGGCCGAAGCGCTCGGAATACGGTGGTGTAGCCTATTGCTCCGGATAAATGCCTCAAATCCGATGGGAAGCACAAGGCCCAGATCGCTGACTTGCTTGACCAGAGCATCGACGTCAACTTTCGGCGCTACAGGTCGATCACCTTCAACTCCATTGTGTGGGCGCATCTCATCCACCATATCCTCGTCCAGAGGTTCAAGCCACTCGAATGACCCATCGAGCTTCATCCAACTGATCAGATCAGGAGGGGAGCATCGAATATACGGTCCACCTTCACGCGGCAGTGATAAGAACTCATAATCCCTTCTTGGGATTTCTTCGCTCATTAAAAGACTCTCATCGTCCAAGGGCGGGATGTGAGAAGGATATGAAGGGCATAGACGACGGGTGCTATGGCTGCTTCGTGGGGGAAACAGGGCTGCCATTTTCTGGGCGTTGCGAGTCCATTCTTTGTAAGGCTTGAATGCTATTTTTGCTGCGCTGAATAGTGCTTTGTTGAAAGTCTGGAGGACGGAGAGTAAGTCAAATGGATTGAGATATTTGAGGATTGCGATGGCGACTTCTGGTGGGAGGGTCTGAAACGACGGCATTGTAGCGAGTAAATAGATGGAAGACAGGATGAACGTTGACTGGAAAGGCGGCAAAGAGGTTGGCTGCCTTTAAAACGCGGGTTCTAACGATTGAGGTTTAGTAGCATCGTGAACGCGGAATTAGAAGTATACCGCGATTCCGTCAAGTGACCTTTGTCTGCCAATGCTCTAACTTCGCAGCACCTAGTTTGAAAGAGATGATGTTAGTGCATCCCCGCTTTGATGTACCCCTGTTGCTTCCAAGTCCCGGCTGGTTCCAGCGTTCTCTTCTTCACTACTATCATCTGCTCATTTCACACGTGGACAAGCAGGCCCAGCCTAGGTCGACAATTGGGGTCGAGCATGTTCATCGCGTACTTGCTTACGCGTTGAGTTCTGAGCGTGACACAAGAGGGGTTGGCAGTCCCGTTAATATACAGAGTAATAAACCCAACAAGAAGACAAGACTGTGAAGCATAGGTGTCCGACAGGCAGCAAATAAGATAAAAGTCATTTACGCGATTGTTAAAAAGAAATCGAGCCACAGTGAGGGCAAAAGAAAGAGCTGTCGGTGGAGAGGCTCGAACTCTCGACCTTTGGATTACTCTAATCTGTGATTAAATCATCAGCTTTATGCTATGAGACCAACGCTCTAACCAACTGAGCCACACCGACAAGGTTCTTGATGTCTCAGTCGCTCGGAATTAGGTTTATCATCACCGCCACAAATCGCGCCAGATCAAACGACTGGAAGGCGATAGTATTTGTGCTTCAGTATGTATTATGCCTATCCAGCGAGACGTGCCGTGGTATGAGAACGAGTTATCGCGTTTGTTTGTCCGTGTTGGGGACCTGCCACTGGGGGTCTCCTGTGCCACGCGTTCGGACGCGTCCAATCGCAAAGACGTGCCAGCGGAGTATTTTAACGTGATGCGCTGGGAACTGACTCTGTTTTATGGTCAATCACAATTAAGCGCGCGTAATTGAATCTGACTTGGACTTTAGAAAGTCCGGTCAATATTCTACGTGCAATGGCGGAAGCTCTTGTGAGTTCAAATAGGGACCAGGGTACATGTTGTTTTCTTGAATCGTTATACGACCTCGGAAACTTTCTCACTGCGTCAAGGTGAAATAAATACAATGACATGGAGCAGTCTTCAAACGGATCTATAAGTTCGTTGCCTTTTTATTACTCTGACCTAAGTTGCTCAGGATTGTAGATAAAAGCCTCGTGCTGGGTCCTGAACTGCAAACTGGTGTAATAGTGTAGGGTATGAGCCATAGATTCCCTTTACTATAGAATCCACAACAATTGTCTACGTGCTATGTATCAAGGTATTATTTAATGCGCACAGTTGGCTACGGCTAGTCTTACGGAATGACCACTTTTAAACGGTCATGACAAGATAATTCAGGACTGCCGATGCATAATGACACCTGAATGGTCGTGGATGACGCGCGGTCAGGATCGGAACAAACAAACCCGGAGACGCGAATAACAACGGATGCAGGTAACAAATATTTGCAACTGCTAAGCCACCCGATATCTTACATACACACTTCTCGTCCTCCATGATCTCTTGGGCCATGCGTTCCTGAAGATCGGTAGATCCCGTGCTTGACAGAGTGTGAGCCATTCGATAAGCTCAATACCATTGACACATTCATTTGAGTACTCCCAACCTTCGGAAGGCAAGACAAAAACAGAGTCACAAACCAGACCAGTGACCGTGTACTAAAAAGTCCAGACCTCATTCAGAAACCCCCAACTTCCCGTACCAAACACTGTTTTAGCAATCAAAACAGGATAGCGTGTATATCGGAGCTTCACTTCCGTTTCGACAGTATCTATTATTACAACAAACAGCGTTGACACCTAACTGAAATCGTACCGATTGCCGTAATTCTTATCTTTAAGTATAATCATAACCATAATGTTTCCCCCTGGCCCCTGGCTTTAGTGTGTCATCGTGCCCCGAATGGTAAGCTGGAAAGGCACTAAAAGTTCGGTAAGCGAGGCCGTTTGAGGTTGCGCCCCTTGCAACAGGACCTGCTACTTTTATGGTCGGGGGGAGAGTCTAGACGCGAGTCTTTTTTTTAATAAGCGCTGGGAGTTTAGTTCTTATCGGGGTGATAAGAGAAGGGATGTTTCATCTTGGAGACTTCATCTTGACTTGGAGCTATGAGATGGGATGATTGGAGTCAATTGATGAGATGCTGAATGCGTGTCTTAATCTCTACTAATCATTAATGACATTCATCATCACCAGACCATGACGAATATCGTCAGCAATGTGTATGTCATCTCTATCATCCGTCTTGGTCTGTTTCCCAAGGCTTCAGGCCATCCTTGGCATCCGAGACCGGGAGAGTCTCAGTCTCCTCGTCGCGACAAGACCTGCGGCGTGAATCACGCTATTCCCCACCTCCGCACGTCAAGGTTTAAGGTTACCTTAAGCATACCTCACGAAACAACACTAACACGCCGATGCTATTTTCGACCCTCTACTCAATTAAAACCTGTTTACTATAGCCAGACCCAGATCTTGTATTAAAACAATGCCTCCGTCCAACCTGCTGATTTTTACTCATCATCGTTCGATTATCCTGTTCTTTGTTTCCTAACACTGTTTAATTCTTCTCTTCTTTGAGGCTGGCCTCTCTTTTGTCAAGTGGATAATATTATTTGTTTCAGTCCTTACAGCCAAGCTTTACTTTTTTCTCTCATTTTTTGTCAAAGATAATCATCATGGCTGGTTCCATTTCTTTACGGGCTCTTCTCTTGAGCGCTTTTGCCTCAAAGGCGATTGCGAGTTGTGCTTATGGTACGCTGTTGCAGCCGAGAGCTGAGGGTGGTAAGGTTGAGGTTAACACCTTCGGTTACACTGGCAAGATCGTATGTACCCAGATTAACACAAACATTGGATATGCTGACAATTACAGGGCCCTACCAATTGGGTTGCTCTCGATCCCCAGGCCAACGCTCTCTGCTCTACCGGCGTGAACCAATCTCCCATCGACATGGTCGCAGGCGCCAACGCCATGGTCCCCGCCAGCCAGCTCAGCCTTGAGATCCCCGACATGCTCGAGGGCGCGGAATTCGAGAACCTCGGTACAACCGTCGAAGTCGTCGCTGGAAAGGGCACCATGTCCTTCCAGAACAACAGCTTCACTCTCCAGCAGTTCCATTTCCACTTGCCTAGTGAGCATCTCGATGCTGGAAAGAGTATGGCTATGGAGATGCACATGGTCTGGGAGAGCGCTGATGCTAAGATCGCTGTCGTTGGTGTTTTTATCGATGTTGAGGATGGTGCTGGTGGAAGTCCTGCTGGTAACGCTACTGCTCCTGCTCCTCCTGCTGAGACACCCGCTGCTCGCAAGCGTGATGGTTTCACCAAGGTTGTTCGCAAGAGCGAGACTGAAGGCAAGGATAAGCGACAACTTCCTGGTGTTGGCGGTTCTTTCTTCCACGTCAACGCTCCTACTACCGCTGCTACTACTGCTTCCAACCTTCTCGAGACGGTCTTCGGTTCGGTCGGTGAGATCTCTGAGCCTGGAACTCTTACCAAGACCAAGGGTCTTAGCATGGCTGAGCTGGTCAGCACTCTCGCCGCAGGATCTTTCCAAACGTAAGTTCACCAACTGATACTCTCACCTGAATCATGCTAACAAGTGTATTAGATATGAGGGATCTCTCACAACTCCCCCCTGCAGCGAGGGTGTCCGATGGCTCGTCTCCGACCAGAAGCTGTCCATCAAGACCTCCACCTTCCACAGCGTTCAGTCCGTTATTGGCTTCAACTCTCGATTCCCTCAGGGCGCTCTTGGTGAGCCCAACGCCCTTGCAGGAGTGGCGGCCTAGATCTAGCAATGATGATAAGAGAAAGAAGCTTGGTTGTGTAATAATATTGTCCTGGTATACGAGTCTGAGTCGCGCAGGTATACTGGCAGGCTCACAGTTAGGAACAAAGAATAGAATCGGTGATCGTATCCTAGCCATTGCTCTGTGAATATGTGTTTGGGCAACCTCTTCGCATAATCAGCCGTTCTACGTTGATCACAAAACGCCCCGAGATAATGTTTCTATCTGTTGGAACGCTATAGTTAGCCGTGATACGAGAGTAGAATCCGTTTTATAGCCAGATCTGCGGATATAAAGACCACCAAGCTGCAAATCATATAAAGGACCTTCAAGACCAGGCCAAGAAACACCGAACATTTCCAACGAGCCTTAATTTTTACAAGCATCAGATCAAAGAAGAGTAGCACGAGAAAGATGCTGGGCATCTCCATACAAACGCGGTCAGCCTTTAGAATCCATGTTAATGAGCTCTTTGAGTGGAATGACATGTCGCTAACTTTAAAATGCAAATTCTAGTACTGGCGAAAGTAGTTCTAGACTTGGGTTAACACCGGCAATAAGGTATGAGTCAGAATGCTCCTCAGTCCCTCCTGGCTTTTGTACTTCACAACTCCCTATACAGACTAAAGGTCCGAAAAGTCTGCACATGTCGATGAAGATCGGATCGCCGGGACCACTGCGTAACAACTAATAATTAATTATCCAGGCTAGAGGGGCCATGGCGCTATAGCGTCTTCGATTTTAACCACGGAGACATGTTCAGAACACACGGCCCTGCTGCAAAAGTCATTGGTCACACGTGCGATAGAGTTAAACTCTGGTCTAGCAATCGGAAAGCTATTATATATAGTATAAAGAGTAGCTACTAGAAATTAACATATAGCAAACACTATCTAGACTAACAGTAAAAGTGATATTCTTACGGCTTTACAAATGGCTAAAAAAACAAGCAGAAATAAAGTAATTAATAAGAATTACTTAATTAAGAAGAATGTAAAAAAGCAAACCTGCGTATCGCAGATGGCTGGATCTCTCCCGCCGGGAATTGAACCCGGGTCTCAAGCGTGACAAGCTTGCATACTGACCACTATACTACGGAAGACGAACAGGCTCAAGCCTGCTGTAGTGAGGGGATTGTGATTGGAGCCCTGCGATTGGAGTTTATACAGACAAGCATCAACAAACTCAGTTTGATTGAAGCTGTTAACGCCCCCAAAAGCTTGGTGTTCTGGAAATGCGAATTAACGGGTATATTAACATCAACGTTTACCCTGATCTCTTTATCTTGATTAGAGAAATTACGCAGTGTCGCGTTAACCAAGTCGTCTGGTCCGCGACAGAAGATCAGCTTGGGTTCTGTCTGCGATATATCGCCTTTCTTTGTTTCGACACTGTAGTCAACACAGACACCAACGACAGCCTCGAATAGCTCGGTAAACTCAATGTTACCACGTGAACACCACCCGACGATTATTCCGCCCCACTGCCTCTCTCTTAGTCGCGACTCAAGTTCGCTGAGGTTGGTGCCTTGGGCGTCGAGGTCAAAGCCGATGTTGGCGAAGCGAGACGACGTCGAGGCAGGAACTCTTGTCTTGGACCATTGTTCCTTGAGAGTTTTTCTTATACTGTGCCCGTGGAGATGCTGAGCAAGGGAAATAGTGAGAATGGGAATTGGTGGTGAGGTCGCCATAAGGAGTACTTTTGAGGAGTTTGTTGATGATGTCTTGAGGTTGCGCTGTGAGTTCTAATAATGGGAGATCGAATGAAGATGTGGTTGCGGATATTGGTTGAATTGAACGCCAGAATCTGTAGCCTTAAATACAGATCGACTTGCCCATTTCTTAAGTATTCTGATCGTACAGTAAGCTGATGATTACAAATGTACAAAGCTGGAGTGAGATGCCGAGGTCTTTCCAAGACGCCGACTTGGCAGCCAAGTGAATTGAAGAGATATAATACATAGGACTAGGGGGCACACTGATGCGTCAGAAGAAAACACACAGTAATTCTAAGTATACATCTAATATTACTCTGTCGCGGTTGTCCCAATGTGGCCCGGATTTAACTTACCTATACAAGTGTCAACTTGTGTTCATACTGGATGAAGCTAATCCAAATCAGTTGTAAAAGGTTGGGTAGCTTTATATAATGCAGGTTGGGGATTTAAACGGACTTAGCATCGCGGCTCCGGCGTTAGATCCGGTTGTTGAAGAATATTATAAGGTACTCAGCCAAGTCTGACAGGCGCCTACTTGACTAGAGCCTGTGCTCAAGGGGCTACAAGCAAGAGTAGGATACCCAGAAGTCAGTTTATGCTAAAGATCTTACAACTTTAACAGTGAACTAAGAGATTCCCCTGCTAAACTGAGACTATTATGGCGCAGTTCGGTGCAGCAACGACCAGACGAGAGGTTGTCGCAGCCTTCCCGGAACGTGTCAAAGACAAAACATGTCAGTGTTCCAATTCTTTGGCTTCATGGTAAGTTCGAAGACTGATTGCGTTTCTAGTTCTTATCACAGGCCCTTCTCCTAGCGGTATTGGTTCAGCCACTGCCTACGCCCTAGCAACCGGAGCTCCCCGTACGCTTGTCCTTCTTGCCCGCTCCAAGGCCAAGTACCAACCTGTCACTGACAACATTCACGACATCGATCCCCTTGTCAATGTCAAGTTCGTCGAAATAGACCTCGCATGTATGGCAAGCGTCCGCAAAGCTACTGAGGCGATACTTGCCGATAGAGACATCACGACCATTGACGGAGTGTTTAACAATGCGGGTGTCATCACCAATGATCTCATACGCACGCCGGATAGATTTGAGAGTTAATTTGCAATCAACCACCTCTCGCACTTTCTCCTCACAAACATGCTCATGCCTCGACTATTGACATCGTCGTCCCCAAGAGTCGCCAATATTTCGAGCCTAGGACACAAATACTGCGAACCAATGTTTCAGAATCCCCATTTCGATGATATAGCCCGAGAGCTATAACCCCGCTGAGGCATATGCTCAAGCCAAAGGAGCACAGGTCCTCTTCTCTGTGGCACTGAACCAGCGGTACGCACAAAAGGGACTTTGGTCTTTTGCCGTGCACCCTGGTAACATGGACAGTGGGATGTATAACCACATGAAGCCTGAAGTATTGATGGATATGGCACAGAGAATTACGGGGAAGAGTCTTGGAGATGCTACTGAGGCGCTTACGAAGACGTCTGAAGGAGGTTGTGCAACTGGCCTCGTTGCTGCGTTACCAGCTCTACCTTCGTTTAGCATGATAGCACAACGAAATTGAGAGTGCGATTAGAAGTGCAAAGATGAGATAGTCACGAATTCAGCAGTTCTCAATAGCAGGGCGTGTCATCTTCTAAGTGGATCTTGGGCATAGTGTACGATGCTCTTCACCTCGGGGACCTGTCTCTTTGTGACTTGAAGCTTGGCATGATACTCAGTCGGCCGCTGCATCTCAGTCCGTTCCTCCCTTTCAGTTGTGGGTAAGAAGAGACTCACTGACCGTGGAGAACTAAACGCCTATAAAAGGACGCTGCAAACCCGCAAGATGTTGGGCTTCTTTATCCTTAAGCTCAACCCAGCTCAGTTCGCTTGCACTTCGAGTCCTCACCCCAAAGAGCTCAACAGTTTGTCTTCCTCTCCAGACAAAAAGACCCAGCACTTATGATCTCGTAGTATCTCCATCATGCACTTCCCAAGCATTGCCACCATCCTCGCCTTCGCAGCCACCGCCGCAGACGCTGCAAAGATCAATCTCGAAATCGGCTACTTCTCAACCATCGTGCCCCCCATCGGCGGTAACATCCCCGGCATCGGCTGCGGCCCCTGGGCCCTCGCTACGGCAGCTGACGGCTCTACCAAGAGTCCGACCGGCTTGAGCGGGGGAGACGAGTGCCCCAACTCTGAACTGAGGAACTTCTGCCAGCGGTTCGGATGTCCTCAGACGTTGAGGTTTGGCGATACGCTTGCTTTCCAGATTCAGTCTGGTAGTGGGCAGAGTCTTACGGTCAAAGGGAGTGTTCTCAATGGAAAGTCGCAGACTGTGACTTGTGGACGATCTGTCGTGACGTACTCTGGGAACAGGTACCGCACTAATATCTGTTACTTCGATCTCTGAGGAACAGACTTTGTATGGTACTCAACCTAAGCAGTCTCAAGGAGTATGGAGAACGATGATTTCAGTCACATATATGGTTAACGACCAAAGTTTACACATGAATATTTCTTATCTTGTCATATTTGACTGAAATACACAATATCCTGCAAATAGATATTCCTTGTTTGTGGCCGAGAACCTAGCTCTAATATTCCATTCTCCATCAACAGTGACACCATTGGGATATCTCCCTTACACGCAGCATGGTTCTTCTTATAACCTGAACTCGAGATGCCAGTTCCAGTGGTCGCATGCTGGTAGTCTTTGGCACCAGTATCCATAATCCCCTCGTAGATTCATCATAGTAAATGACCTCCCCAGAGCTGGAGTTGTAGTTGATACACCTCTCATCGTTCCAATACATTTTGACACTCCCTTACTGATCCACCCCCCTGTTCAGAGTCACCATCATGTGCGACCTCACTTCCAGCATCCTGATTCATTTCATTCCTTTCCTCCTGACCAACGTTCTGCCCTTCGGGGTCACGACTATCATCCATGTTCCTTTTGGGATTCCGGTATTTGCTATCCTTGACTCTTGCGCGTTTAAGAAACGTGGAGCGTTCAACCATGAATCCTTTATAGGGATGCTTATGACTCATGTATCTACGCCATCGGGGCAGGGCACTGATGATTGATTCTGGGCTAATAACCCACTCAGCAGGGTATCGCTCTTCGCCCGGCTGAGTTGGTGGCTTTGAGCACACGTCGCGAATCCATTCCCAGTCCTTGTCTGTGAGCATGGTAAGCTGCTCGGGATGGTCGTCGTGGAAGCGCTGTAACTGGCGTCCAAGCTCGTATGGCATGAAACGCTCATGCATGGTGACGGAATTGAGGAAGGGTTCGGTTGACATTTTGTAGTCTTTCAATAAATAGTAGTATGGGGAAGTTTTGGGAGAAGATGATGTATGTTTAAATACTTGCAGTGATTGAAGTAATATAAAGAAGTAAATAGCTTTGATAAAAAAGTCCTTAAATAATTTTCTATGTGGCGGTAAGTTACTTGCAGTTCTTTATTAAGATTAACACGGCGTCTTTGTTCTTCCAGTGGCTAAGATAATTGTGACATGATGCGGGCAGTTAGTCATTCAAAGCAGACGGACTGTTCACTGGTGACATCACTCCACTCGTAACTGTGATGCCTTTGTTCTAGCTACACACTCCTCAGCCACTGACCAGTTTCTCAGGACGAGCGCCCAAATTAGTAATAGCTAGGTGAGTTCCGAAGCAAAGTGGACATGAACTATAATACCTACTAAAGCAGTACGGTCTTAAGAGATATAGTTTCTTGTTACTTAGTGTGAGCTGGCTATGTCAATCCGTTCCGCGTACTTCCCAGACTCATCCACTATTCACGCTTTGTGTACTCTACTAGGTATATATATCTTGGGGATTGATGCGTTAGATTACAGATACGTCAGATTGAAATAGGTCAAATAGAACGTGTTGTTCATTTCTAACATCAACCCCCTTATTGCTAACGTGTTATGGAATAAATATACTGCATATTTCGCTAACGATATATAATTCCAATAATCTATTTTTCTTTATTCTCTCTATCTCAAGACGATCAAGGGATCGTTTGAACGCCACTGTCTCTCTTACGACTCCACTCCTTAGATGGTCGCATGATTACACTGGCAGCTCATGGTAACATCTCTACTATTCACTGTCAGAAACACCGTAGTCAACGCCTTCTCGTTCAGAATTGGAGTCGTAGTTGATCTGCCTCTCAGTTACCTCGTGCTTTACGGGAATCTCCTCTTCATCTGTCTTTTTGCTTCCGATCTGTTGGCCAGCATTCCGACGCCTTCTCGTCGTTTTGGTTTGGCGTCTACGAGCACTAGTGACTTTCTTCACTGTACCGTTGTAGGGGTGTTTCTTTCCCATATACCCACGCCAACGATATATTACTCGTCGAACTGACCTTCCGCAACTGGTCCACTTCATGGGGTATCTTTCCTCGTCCATACTAGGAGCTCTGGCGCAGCATATTTCATTGATCCAGTACCAGTCCTCTTCGGTCAAAATGTCAATTATGTCAGGATGGTAGGTGTGGAATCGCCGGAACTGGCGTCCTCGAAGATACAGAAGACATCGAGGCATTTTGACAGGAAAGGTCTTTGGCCTAGACAGAAACAGGAAGTTATGGACATGAAATAGGAGAAAGCCATGGAATGAAAGCTCCTTAAATAGAGGAATTTGTAGAGTTCAGAAAGGCTATTGGTCCTTCAGAGTTCTAAGTTAGCTAAGAACATAGCGGTTCTATTTATCAATATTGAAATAGAACATGGTATGTTCTGTAATCATTTGCAGACAGACGGACTGTTCACAGTCCGATATATGTAGAAGGGCGGTACAATTCCAACGGCAACTCATTTCTCTTTATCCGCGATCTGTCCATCTGAACATAAATTGCTTCGGTCTACCATTCACGAGACTACAGGATAGCAGACTATAATTATTAAACACATTCTTAGTATATTAGTAATCTTATACATTTTGTACAGCCCACATGCCCTTGTTCTCCGAATGCAGTCACTACCCAGACTCATTCCAAGTTTCCAACACTGATGCCTTGTGAACATTACTAAGCACACCTTGAAAAACCTCTCTCGATCTTATTGCATGGTCCTTCTTGCAGCCCGAAATGCCACATACCTCATCCCACCATGAGTCATCATATGATATCACTCGTACCAGTGGCTGTCCATTCCCATCCAAGAACCGGGAAATATAGAGGCCATGGGGACCGTCATCTTCCTTTTCTCCATCCACATTGCTCACCCAAAGCCATCTAGAAGACGCTGGTATAAACCCACTCTCTTCCCTGCCTCGCTCCTCCATCACCACGGTACCAAGCTCGCCCAGTGCTAGGAACTGAGGATCCCACGCACCCTCTTGCCAGGTGACACTTTGTATGAGGTAAAGTGCCTCCATACGGACATCGTGGACCCGACATAGACGAGCGATTCCCGATAGCGGAAGCAGTATGCCCTCGCCGAGAGTGATATGACGAGGAACGCCATTGCGCACCTGCTGCTTCAACCATGCTGTGCAGTCGTCAAGCAGAGCTTTGAACGTCTCCTCGTACCGATCATAAGACAAGTCGCACGGTACAAGGATACAATCCAAGTGGATCTCTGATATGACGCAGTGTATCTCTAGTAGCTTCAGCCGGTGAAGATGGTCCTCGTCAAGGTCACTCTTGAGATAGGCCCGGATTACCTCAACCCATGACAGCGCTTGCTTGTATAGGATCCGTCCACGTTGATGGAATGACTTGATAGTTTCCGTGTCTTTGAGTGCCACTACATCGTGGGCCTGCCCTATATACGCCATCATTGCACTGTTAAATAATCTCCACCGACCGAGAAGCGACTTGGGTAAATCTACCCCAAACACTGGCGGTTCTGTGGCAGAGACCGTATTTATCTGCATGTAGATAGGTATCGCGGATATTATTTGGCGGGAGTATTGACACATCATAGAAAAGCAGAGGAATGTATGTTGAACCGATGTGATCTCATCTTTACTGCCTTCTGTGCTCCTTTGATGCGCAAGATGTTCGTTCAATAGAGCAGTAACGCTTTTCAGTATACTGTCCACCGATCGATGATTCCCCTGTAGAATCTCAAACAAGGCCATAAGAATTGTCATGACCGTCATGGTCCGTACAGAGACGTGCGCTGGGTCGAGCTTTAATCGCTCACGAAGACCCTGAACGCCCTTGAGGTAATGCTTAAGCGACGCAGCGTGATTTCTGTTCTTGACACTGCTTGGGCCCCAAACCTTGAGCGGCGAAGGTTTCGACTGCACGATAGACTGCTTCGTATCACGCGCGTCATCGGCGATGGCAAGGGTCAAGGCGCCAAGTGCTAGCACCAGCTGACGAATGGAGTCATCCTGATGCACACCAGTAAGAATAATCCCCTCGCAGAAATCCATGTAAAAACTGCCCGAAAGCTCCGGGGCCACGTGATACCGAAAGGCATCGAGGTATGGTACACTGTGCCCATCAAGCTCAGGCAGCGCAGCCGGAGCGAGCGGCAAGAACTTTACCGGTACGACCTGAGCTGGTGGCACGAGGACAACCTCATGCTTTGCAGGCTGCGTCTCATACCCATCGCATACAAAATCTCCCCGAATACACCGCGCGCACGCTGGTTTGCCCTCGTCACACTTGACGCGACGTGTCTTGCATGTCAGGCAACCACTGCGGACCTTGGGTTTGCTGAGACGATAAAAGCGCTGCTTGGATCTGGCGTTCCGTCGTGGAATCAGTTGGACGGGGACGAGCAAGGGCCCTGCAGGAACGAGGGGAGGAGACTGATTGGTCGCCATGAGGAGGGAGGAGAGTACGGCAGTGTCGAGAGGGTCAGCGATTAATTACCGAGCAGGATTCTTATATCGGCACATGGGATGGGGTCAGGTCAGCAATTTAGGGCTGAAAACTAGCGGAAAGTGCCGCGCGGTTTCTGGACTAGTCTTGTGGGGTAGTTGACTCTAAGAAAAGATCTTTTGTCTTTATCCAGCGAATTATTTATCAAGTTCCTACACTCAGCCTTGTTTTGAGCTTAGTCAGGTCAGCTCGCCGCTGCTATAAATATTAAGTCAAGGAATTGTATGACAAATTTGGAAGATTCCAAAGACATCTCGCGTGCGGTACCCGAGTGAGAGTCTGGTCTGACAGAGGAACTAAGTTAGCGTTGCGCGAAGGAAGAAGAAGCTTAGTCCTCAGCCAGTAGATAAGCAGTTCTTATCCGACCAATTACCTGCTTGAGCTCGTAACCCCACAATCGGAGAGTCGCGGGTAGGAATTGGGAAGAGAGATAACCTAGACCATATCTCGTGAATTAGTCAACTGGCCTATGAAATAGTGTGATCTATCTCTTGCATAAGTGAAGATATAAAGGACACAATGTCCGGAAACTTAATTGCCTGTTGAACTCCTCGGATATGCACCTTTACAACAATGCTATTATTATAGCATCAATCTTCAGGTCCAACTTGTTATCTAGTCTTCTGTTAAACTTCACATTCTAATTTACCATTGGGCGAAACGCTTACCAGGGGGCCTGACCTCTTGCTTATCAACATCCAATACTGAATGGTTATAAATGCATCAGCGGTTCTTTGACGAATGGGTGTCTTGTTAGTCGGAAGACAGATGTAGCCCCGCCATCAACTACCGTGGAGATCCCCGCTATTTTCAGCGTGTAACAACTGCCGCCAAGATCAACTCTATTTGACGGCAGTGGTCGACGGCTTGGGACTATGGAGCTGAATGGGCCATTGCTACGCTGACTGATGCGTATTTAATACCTCGTGCAGTGCGATTCTTGGAATCCCCATGTCACCGCTTCATCACTTCATTGCGATTTAGCTTGTTCATCATGTACGGTCTCAAAAGGATCCCGATTCATTCGTTTCTTGCGCACTGCTTACTATTCTCGCAAGCCGTGGCTAGGACTGCCTCTTCTGAAGTATGTGCTCTCGAGCCCGACAGCCGAATGCCAAATGGCTCCTGGGACTCTCACCTCCACGTCCTGGACCCAGTTCGTTTCCCGCCTGTTCCGGGATCATATGAGTTTGGTACATACACAGCATGGGATGCCACTATCGAAGAAACCCGCCTCGGCTGTTCACACATGGTTCTGATCCAGCCGTCCGTCTACGGAAATGACAATACCTTGCTTATTGACACTCTCAAGGCATTCGGCCCGGACAGAGCCCTCGGTGTTATCGTGTTTGACGTGGCCAACACTTCAACCGCACAGCTTCAAGAATGGAACGATCTCGGCGTTCGCGGTGTTCGGTTGAACTTTCAGTCGACGGGTGATGCCCCGCCGGCCAAAGAGCTCAGAGATATGATGCAGCGGTATGCAGATGCTATTCGCCCTTTCTCTTGGGTTTTGCAGATCTATATCGCCATGAAGGACATACCCGGTATCGAGCCCGTCATTCCAGATCTGGGAGTCAAGGTCGTCATTGACCACTTGGGTCACCCAGATATCCCAAAGTCGAACACCTCTGGGACTGCTCTCGATCCGCACACTTTGTCTGGGTTTGACTCCATGTTGCGACTCTTGGAGGGAAAGAATACTTGGGTCAAGGTTTCTGCCGTCTACCGCCTTTCGAAAGCCTCAGGACCTTTGTACACTGACCTTGATCCTCTCATCCTCGAGCTTTTTAAAGCAGCGCCATCTCGACTCGTTTATGCCTCAGACTGGCCACATACTAGATTCGAGGGACTCGATATCAAGCCTTGGACTTCTCATCTAATTGATCTGACAAAAGGAAACGTGGAGCTGCGTAATCAACTGTTCAAGGACAATGCACAGGAGCTATGGTGCGGTCAGAGTACAATAGCCAGTTCAGCAAAGCCTTGACATTGAAGCAGCATGTCTATCCAATTCCGGAGGTTCTCGTGCTCATATACAGTTAAATAACCAGTCATAGTTGTCTGGTCACCAGGCAATATAGGTCGGAATTGACACTGTCTATCTGGTCTATGCACGTCGTGCGGTTGTTTCGCCAGGTCACACGGCCATTCGCACAACAAGGATCAGCAACAGAGGATAGGTAGGCTGAAAGACATGACTATCGCCAAATGCAAACGACAAAAAACAGATAAGCCAAGTTCTCGTAATGTGGTACCGAAAACAGGCTCTGGAGATCGAACCAATAATCGGGTTGGGTTACTTGGTGGCTGAAACAATATTCTTCCCTGCTCATTGTTCCCCGGCGTCTGAAGTGCCCTCAGTCAACCCTATCCAAGTGTTGCAAACTGGGAATCTTGGAATATGAGATGTAAGGCTGGATATTGAGGTGTATGGAGATGCCTTAATCCATTAGTCGCAGCTAGAGCTAGGGGTTTTAATAGCTGAATTACGTTGTTGCCAGAGCCATAACATATTACATCTTGGCCCACCTTGTGTAACAAGAGCTACTTTATCTTGCGTTGTATGGACAAATCTCCCCATTTTCTTTTGAGGCCAGCACTCATCATCCAATCATGTCAATGTGCTGAGTTTCCCACCGCTCAACATCAGCGCCCGCAATGAGGAAGTCTACAGTCTGCAAGCTTGAACGATATTGTCCCTGCTGCACATGACCCATAAATGAGAAACGCCACAGTTGATCTCGTTGGAAGCACCTCCTGCATCGGAGCTGATGCCTACGATCCAGGTGACGAGCTCCACGATCGGGCCCTGGCAGTGCTCGCGAACGCTCAATTCGGATCACCTCTTGTCCATTTCTTCAACTCTCAAAAATGGAGTCCCTTGCAATTTCAGCCAAAAGCTCTCCATCAGTTACTTCAACATGGTTCGCCGCATTTACTTCACCGACAGCACTAGCTAGGTTGCCAGGGTAAGGCTGCCAGAGCTCTGCACAGTATTCAGCGACCGCGAAGCCCTCAATGTAGCCAGAACTCTCAAGGTAGAGGTTGCCAGCATAAGGTTCTTCAAGTAGGTACACACACTCGAGCCAGGTACGTATTAGGAAGCCATACTAATAAAAACTCGCAACATTAAAGGGCAAGAACCTCGATTCCCGCCCCTGTGGTTCATTCCTACAGCATTAATCCAACCAACCAAATTAGCGCTCCGTACATCCTCATGGATTACATGCATGGAACTGTTGCCACGGAATCGCTAGACGCAAACGAATGTGAGGGTGGACTCTTCGGCACGCCAGACCAAGATCAGGTGTTTAGAACGCAAATGGCTGAGATCCAAGCAACATTATCTTCCTTCAACTTCCATAAGATCGGGAGCCTCTACCAAGATAAAGAAACTTCTAACTTCTTCATCGGTCCAGAGACGGAGACTGGCAAGGGGCGTTAGAGCTCCGCATTAGAGTATTATGGCGATCTATCAAACCATGCTCTTCATGTCTGCGTACATGACGCATCTCCCGATGCCGAGACAGCTTCTTCGTTCGCAAACCCGATCCTCTTCAGACATCTCATGTCCCTATAGCGTCAACACACGCCCAACAAAGAGTCCTTCGGCCTCGTGAATGGCGACTTCGGGGCCCATAACCTTCTGGTGGATGAGACATTACAGGTCATCGGCATGATTGACTTTGACAGCGTCATGGCAGCCCCTATCAGGGTTATCGCCTTGTAAGGTAAAGAAATAAAATATAATATTCTTTTAAAGCTTATAAATAATTATAAAAAGAAGTTATTATATTTTTATTAATATATAAAAGTAATTAAATTATATAATTATTTATACTTAT